AATAATGAGGAGACAGAGCTGAACGTGTGTCTGTTTATTAGGAGGAATAACGTTAGCGCGCTCGGCTAAAGCATTTGGGAAACGGAAACTGAAACTGTGGAGCGGCGACAGCACGATAAACAGCACGAAGCGCTCAAACAACATACTTAACTTCAAGTTTATAGTGCTTCAGTTTTGTTTGACCTTTTTAAATCAGTAACGGTAGCTAACGTTAGTTGTCTGGCTAACTAACTTGATTACGCGTTTATGCTTCAGCTGTGTGCGTATGGTCGGTTGCTAGGTAACAGATGTGACAGTTGATTGGCGACTTTGATTGGGTAAGTTAAGATTCCTTAAATTGAGATAAGATAAGATGCTGAAAGATACGATTCCTAAATCAGGATCAGATTTGCTTCTGTAAAACTAATTTGTGAAAAATCTTATCATGACCTGTCAGATCTTAAGTTAAGACAAAAAGATAGGACGTTTCTGTAAAACGGCCCCAGAATCTCAGAGGAATGTTTCCAACATCTTGTGGAATCCATGCCACAAAGAACTGGGGCTGTTTTGAAAGCAAATGGACGGCCTACCCAGTATTACAATAGTGTTCCTAATAAAGTACTCAGTGAGTGTATATAAGCCCTACATCCTATAACCTTTAAAAAGAATGGAGGCAAGGCAACTAGGCAATAACCATAATAATAGAGTGACCCTCCTGGGCATGGTATTTTTGCGTCTGCTAACCCATGTGCAAGGAATTATGGAATGGAGGCACAACATGAGATTGTGTGTGCCCCCAACAGATAAACTGGTGCTCTATATACACATTTTATTCAGCACAAGCAGAGAATACGGTCTGACAGTGTGTCATTTTATTCATTGTCATGAACAATCCTATATTCTGGAGTCCAGAAGCAACAACAAAGAATTGAATGGATAGCACTGAGACCTTAGTAACACATTGGGCATACTGGTACAGGAAAGGCGCTCAGGCAATGAAAGCCCAACCTGCAAATGGTATACAGAAGAACTTTTCTTGGGTGTTAAAGTCTGAATTCAACAAGCCAGCTGCAAATCTTAAAACCTCATTTCTAAAAAAGTTGGGACGCTGTGCAAAATGTAAATAAAAACAAAATGCAATGATATGTATATCATTTAAATCCTTTATTTCATTAGAAAAATTACAAAGACAACATATCAAATGTTGAAAATGAGGAATTTTATTGTTTATCGAAAAATATATGTCCATTTTGAATTTGATGCCAATAACACATTCCAAAAAAGTTGGGATGGGGGCAACAAAAGGCTGGTAAATTTGTGTAATGCTAAAAAACACCTGGTGGTTAATTGGCAACAGGTCAGTAACATGATTGGGTATAAAAAAGCACATCAAAGAGGCTGAGTCTTTCAGAAGTAAAGATGAGGAGGGGTTCACCACTCTGTGAAAGACTGCACAAGCAAATAGTGCAACAATTCAAGAATAACATTTCTCAACATAAAATAGCCTTTGGCTTTTCATCGTCTACAGTACATAATACCATTAAAAGATTCAGAGAATCTGGAGAAATCTCTATATGCAAGGGACAAGGCCAAAAACCAGTATGTGCCAGCCGTGATCTTTGGGCCCTCAGGCGGCACTGTGATAAAAACAGGCATGATTCTGTAGTGGAAATCACTGCATGGGCTCAGGAACACTAATGAAAAACACTGTCTGTGAAAACAGTTCATCGCTGCATCCACAAATGCTAATTAAAACTCTAAAATACAAAAAAAAAAAACAAATATAAAGAGGACTCAGAAATGCTGCCACCTTCTCTGGGCCCGATCTCATTTAAAATGGACTGAGGGGAAGTGGAAAAGTGTCCTGTGGTCCGACAAATCAACATTTGAAATTCTTTTTGGACATCATGGACGCTGTGTCCTCTGGGCTAAAGACCACTCAGCTTGTTATCAGTGTGCAGTTCAAAAGCCAGTATTCATGATGGTAAAGGGGTGCATTAGTGCACATGGCATGGATGACATGCACATCTGTGAAGGCACCATTAATGCTGAGCGATATTTACCTGTTTTGGCAACATATGCTGCCATCTAGACGACGTCTTTTTCAGGAAAGGCCTTGATTATTTCAGCAAGACAATGTAAAACCACATTCTGCATGTATTACAGCAGCATTGCTCTGTATTAAAATAATCCAGGTCCTCAGCTGGCCTGCCTGCAGTCTAGACCTCTCACCCATTGAAAACATTTGGCGCATTATGAAATAAAAAACTACTGCAAAGGAGACCCCGAACTAATGAACAGCTGAAATCCTGTATCAAACAAGAACAGGAAAATATTTCAATTTCAAAACTACAGCAATTGGTCCTCCTCAGTTGCCAAACGCTTACAGAGTGTTGTTAAAAGAAGAGGTGATGAAACACAGCGGTAAACATGCCCAACTTTTTTGGAACATGTTGTCGGCATCAAATTCAAAATGGGCATATATTTTTCAAAAAACAATCAAATTTCTCAGTTTCAACATTTGATATGTTGGCTTTGTAGTATTTACCTTTAAAAATATGGTTGACGTGATTTGCATATCACTGCATCCTATTTTTATTTACATTTTGCACAGCGCCCAACTTTTTTTGGAAAGGGCGTTGTAACTCTGACATCTATAAAACTTTACAACTTGGTTATATTTCACAACGGAATAAAACTGACAATTACTTCCACAATAAGCACTGAAAAAAATTGGAAAAGAAGGGAAACAGACTGTCTCCACTGACCTTTGTCCTTTTCCAGGACGAATGCTTGGTCCTAGATTTCAGTGAAACAGCATAAAAGCATTGTATTTAACACACCATCATTTCAGCAATCTGCCAGCATGTCGTTCTCTATTCAGGAAGACTGTATGTTATATAACACAATGTAACAGTAGGCCTGCCTCCAGCATCCATTTCCATCTTCCTCACTTGAATGAATAAATTCCAAAAAAGTTCAACTGATCCGGCAGCGTTGTTTAATCAAGCGGCAGGAAAATCACGTAATGTTCAAGCAACACTCTGAGCCATATCAGTCCCTTCAACTGTAGTGGTTCATCAGCTTCGATGGTGTCAGATACATCACTACAGCAGAATGACAGGGCTTGGAAATATGCTTTCTCAATATTAAGAGGCGAGACCTTCGCCTAGTGCTGCGATATGATCTCTTGAAAATTGTATTGATATGCTATAAAAGCCAAAATCTTTCTCAAGGCTGCAATCTACACCCACAGATATGCTATGTAGTCTATGCTATCCAGTATTTATTAAAGGAAAACATTGCGTGTGTATCAATAACACTGCCCAGTTCCACAGCATTGCCTTCTGGGTATGAAATTCAAACTACCATATCTAAAATTACCTGACAGAAAAAGTCCTCTGTGCCAGTGAGTAATAGGCATGAACTGAACCAGTAGTACATAAAACCCATCCATGCGTAGACAGCCTGCAGTGACTATAAAATTTGCTCCCTTTTCCCAGCCAAGCACATCGAGAGCTCACACTGCTTTGAGAATGCTATCACGAGCTGCAAGAGAGAGATATCTATTGCGCTGTATTCATGTGAAATCAGTTAATCGCAAAACACAGACACTCCACACATACACACCCACGACTACACCCACTCTCACATTCATCACTGCTTGATGTATATCTGAGAAGTCATATGTAGAAAACAAACTGCAGTACAACCATCACTGTATTCGTAACTACCGAAATCCCTGCTGGTAACTACTGACTTAAAAAAGAAAACAATTCAACCTTCCCTCTAACGGCGACAAACATCCCCAACTGCAACTTTAACCATACATCTAATGGGAAACTTGTATCCTTACGGAAAGCACTAACTCTCAAGTGAGAGACACTAACATGACTTTAACAATACACAATGTCCCTGAGCCTCCTGGCCAAGCCTTAATCCAGTATGGTGGCACTGGACTAACTGCAGACAGCTGTAAAATAGGCAGGGGACTTAAAAGCGTCCTGTGGGGAAAAAGGTTGGGACTGGCTGTTTGGAAAAACAATATCTTTTTCATGGTAAATCACAGCACAGCACACTGTGCTGGTTCATTAAGACATCTTTTTTCCCCACTTATTTTGACCTCCTGTTTTTACAGATGATTGATTTTTCTAATGGTTCCTTAAATAGTTACATTATTTTAAGTTGAAATTCAGTTTTTCCATGAACCTCTCTTAAATTTAGCACTATTATTTTGCTGGTTCATCTTGGCATTCCAACCTCCTCAAAAATAAAAATATCAGGACACGTATCACATATTAGGAAAATGTCTTCCAGCATCGTGAAGAGAGTTTATATCACACCTGTTTTGGAAAAAACTCCTGTATGTTTTAGGACACATTTTAAAGCACCTGCGTACCTTTCAGAACGTCTTTGTTCCGACGCATGAACTTAGATCTGCATATACTGGCATTTATTAAATACAGAAAATGTGGAGAGGCCTCTCTCAGTTATGCTTCTAAACTGCGGACTTCAATTCCACCTTTTCTTAGGCAGCTTGGTTCACACTTCTAAGAAACACTGGAAAACGTATCCCTGTTTTTTAGATTTTGACTAAAATTTGACCTCTTTTTCTGAATTTATCTTTTATCTGTGTCTTTGCTTCATGATTTTAAATTAATGCTCTTAACTTTCATTCATTTTTTACTTATTTTCAATTATTTGCCCTTATACTGCTGTTACCAAACAGTAACTATAATGGCAGAAATCAAACTCAACTGTAATTTCTAACTTTATCACCTGTCTGTAAAGCATATTGAGATGCCCCCAGCGTATTATTTTAGGTTATTGCTATTATTACTATTATGATATTTTGTCATATTGCCCACCCTTGCACAATTTTAACAGCCATTAAAATAGAATGGGTAGTGAATGGACTGGCACAGTAAAGGGGACAGTGTCCACTCATTCTGTGCTACTAATGCAAAACTAATTGAAAGTTACATAACATCCCTCCTGCTGTACCCAAGGCTGTGACTGACCTGTGCTGTCCTCGTAGACCACAGTGATGGACTTCCACTTATAGTAGGTGACGACATCCAGAATAGCTCTGCTGATGGAGGTGTGCTCTGGGTACAGGTTGATGAAGAAGGTGTCCTTGTTGTCCACAGAGGGGTGTTTCCAGCGGGTCTGGATGTGAGGGACCTCCAGGGCATTACAGATGGACTGCACAGCGCTGACAGAGGAGCTATGAGCCGGGCCGAAAACTGCAGCCACGCCCAGAGCTAACTGGTCACACACTGAGAGAGGAGAGCCATCAATAAATGCAAAATGAAAATAACATCAACAAAAGCGAAGAGAAAAAAAGAGATGGAGAAAAGAGAACAGCCACAGCATCAAAAATGAAGAGAACCAAGAATGAGTGAAGAAAGAACAGGGGGAAAAACAAGGAAAGGAAGGGAACAGAACCAGAAAGTGAAAGTAAACATAATGTCCTTTGTCTACTCTACACTGCAGAGGTGGACGAAGCACACAAATCATGTTGAGTTAAAGTAGAGACCCCCAAGGTAAAATATTACTCCAGTAAAAGTAGAAGTTCCTCCCTTTAGACCTCCACTTGAGTAAAAGTACAAAAGTATTTGCCTTCAAATGTACTTAAGTATCAAAAGTGAAAGTACTAAAAGGTTAATTATGGCTCTGATGTCCTATTGTCGTTTTTATAACAGAACTCTTGCTTTATCAATTCATTTTAGGTGAAAATACTCCAGTGTCACTCTTGGTAAACCAGTCTTTTAATAGAATGTCATTAATTAGTGACGCTGATGTCTATTAAAATTATCATAAGCACAAAACAATGAAGGCAAACAGTTTCCATTAGGTAGAACTGAGTGGCTCTGAAAAAACGTTTTGCAAACAAGCAAAGTTTCAGTTTAAGATTTATTTGCAACTTAGTTACAAGTTTAAGTTTAATAAAAACTTTAAACTCAGATTCAGAAATGAGTTTCCTTTACTAAACTGCATCTGTAGGTCTCTGTTCATAAACATAAACTAGCCAAAAACAAATTTACTATAAAATGAAATAGTCACTGCATATGTGTACATATTTCTATATTGTGGTCTATTTACACAAAGTTAGGTTAGTTCATCATTTGTGTTGGCATAGGCACAATAACTTTTACGCTGCTGCCCTGACGTTGAACCGTGTGCTTGCACTTGGTTTGGTATGTCCAACAGGTCAAAACAAGCTCAAAACAAAGTGACCGCTGTGCCCTGATTGGTGTTCTTGCTTTGCGCTTCTTTCGTTTCGACATGTTATGTTTTTATACACACATAAACCAAAAGGAACGACAGCTTTCTCATAATGTAGTGGAGTGAAAAGTGAGATATTTGACTTTGAAATGTAGCGGAGTGAAAGTAAAAAGTCACCCAAAATGGAAAAACTTCAGTAAAGTACAGATACAGAAAAAACTACTTAAGTACAGTAACGAACTACATTTACTTAGTTACTGTCCACCACTGCTACACTGTACCCATCTGAGACATAATACAAATGAAACACGATGAAATATGTAATCTGAAGTCCGACCTCTTCGAGAGGCTTCAAAACTGTCAAAGAGGTTCACTCTCTGGATGTCGTAGGTCAACGTGGTGTTTGGCATCAGCGTTCTGTTCCGGTTTATGCTGGTAACAGCAAATTTGAAAGCTAACTCATCCACACTAACAGGCTCGTTCTCCCGGGTCTCGAAAATCCCCCCTGCACACAGAGGAGGGAGAGAGAAAGAAAGAAAGAGAAGAGAGAGAGGGGGTAAGAAAGAAAAATCATCACACAGTACACAGGTAAGAGGCTAAGCAAAACATTTTCCAATTCCCCTTTTCTATTACTGCGGGTTATTAGAAATACAATGGTCGGCAAACAGAACATTACATTTTACATTTTCTTAGATGGTTTCACAAAAAGGCAAACACAAAAACAGATTACACCATAAATCATCCATGCACATCTTGCATAGTATTACATAAATTGGTACTTGCTACTGACTTTCACAGAAGGAAAAAGATCATTAGAGAGCTCATAACGCACAAGAAACTTTTCTGGTATTGAGGAGCAACTTGTCAGATGCTTTCAGAACAAATATAAAAAGCTACACTGAAGGCTTTCTTCAAACAAAAGGAACAAATCAAGAATGAACACATGGAGCTGCTATTAAAGTCTACTGAGCTCAAACATCATAAATTAATTCAATTAGCTGAACACAAATGATGCATACACCAGTAACAATAAATACAGCTCATGCAGACAGACTAGCTGCCCTGCCATAAGCCATAGGTCAGGGGTTCTTAACCTTTTCCACTCCAAGGCCCACCTGTGTATAACTGCAAAGCACAGCGGCCCACAGTAACACTAAAATTAACTCTGTATAATACAACTTTATTTTTCTTTTCTTAAATGCTGACACTGAAAACCTGAAAATTAGGTCCTGAAAAAGATCAGATTGGCCATTCTGGTTGTCAGCAGGTCAGCAAAATTTGTAGGCATGTTAAAAAACATGAAACATGTTTGAAAAAATTCAGAATAGAAATGTACAAATTACAAATTAGCTGTGATTTGAGCTGCAGTCAATCGCATTTTCACTCCACTGGCTTTTCCAAAAGAGTCATTGTTTGGTCTTGAGATGCCTCTAGTTTTGAGGGTTTTTGTGATTCATTTGAAATAAACCACATCTTACCTGATATTTGCTTCTTCAGCATTGGTTTATCACTTTGAGTTTAACCACTCAGGTCACTGATGCGCGACCAAATATATGCTCCGGCATTCATGAGCTGAAATCAAACGCATCTCTTCTCTATTATTTTATGGCTCGTCTCTTGTTTTTAACAGCAGCTTGTGCTCAGTGTCTAAAGAGTCAGTCCTTAAAACAGTCTGCTGTTATGCTGACTGTATGGTGCCGATATGCGGCTAGAAGAGAAGGAGAGCCAGCTCTGTTAAAAAATTCCCTCGTTTGATCACAGAGTGCGTTTCCATTAGCAGTGAACTGAACATGGCTTGTTTAAAGCGGGTGAGACCCGCGGGTTTCTGATGGACCAGTTCAGCTGTTTTTTTGCTGACCCGAATACGGGTGGAGTGTTCGTACACGTCAAAACGCAGCGCATCAAAGAAAAAGGTGTGATAAGTCCTCACCAAACAAAGCAACCTGAGAAGCTTCTCCATCTCCGGCTAGCTGTCTGCACCGCGAGCCCGCGACTGCACTGCCTCAGACCGATGACGTTTAATTAGCCATTACTGCAATGTATTTATTTATACATCTCTATTAATATTTACATTGGTTATACCGTGAAAACGTTTAATTCTTTGATTTTTTAATTATTAAGTTAATCATTTTTCTGCTTATGTTTTTATGACCGATCCTAAATTACTCCCTCTGAGTTCAGGCCCGCGGATCATTATAGGGTGCCTCACGGCCCACTGGTGGTCTGCAGCCCACAGGTTGAGAAACCCTGCCATAGGTTAAGTATGCATAATATATATTCATCATTTCCTTTTTTGAGTTACTTTGTACATTTTAAAAAATGACAGCAAACAAGTGTGGCGACAAATGATGTAACAGATAAGACAAATCTATTTCACTGCATTATTCTGGACTGAACTACACACAGTTCATTACTTAACGTCAGTGGTTGAAGGCAGCACATTTTAGGAACAGATTATGTTTAGGTGCTCATCGCTACAGATAACATAAATGAAATGCCGTCTTGAACATGCCCAAAGAATTTTTACGAATGCTATTATTTGCCTACGAACTGACAGATCATTCAGCTCCTCAGTTTCTTCACGGTACTCCCATTTTATTGATGTATACAAGTTCATTAGAGCCACCACAGCCAATTTAAATTTAAATGAGCTCTAAATTACTGGACTCAAATCAGTAACTGTTATTTAAGACTCTTGCTATTAAAACTCCCTCAGCGGCCGTGGGAGAAAAGTCAGCGCCACGCTAACACAATGAGGTTGATTAGAGGCCAACGATGCTGCCAACTGTGTCCCCACTGCAAAATACTAAACTAAACAGTGAGCTATGTATCCACAGTTACGCACCAGCATCTGTTTCAAAACACACTGACATGCATCACTTGTTTGTGTTCATTGTTGGAGACATCGCAATGCAGTTCCTTCAGAGGATTGAAATACCAGAACACTGCTTTTCAGTCTTCGCAATATTTTTTGTCATATATTTTTTATTACTTATATATTTGATATACAGTCATATGCATAAATGCAGGTACCCTGGATGAATTACGTTTTGTTGATTTTCTAGGTAAAAAAGTACACATCCTCTACACTGATAGACACAAAGGTTCTGTGCAGGTACATTTCTTGTTCATCAAGGTACAAACAATGTAAATGTTCCCTGTCAGTGGTTTTAAGGTCCAATTGTGAACCTTAAATAAGTTCGTATTTGTACCTTTCATAATCTAACATTTTAAAACAGAACAGTAAAATAAAAGCCTGGAGTCGAGACGGGGTGTGTGGAGTCAGTACAGCTGAGATGAACCCTTCAGGGTCCCACCCCAGTGACAAGAGGGGCACTGACCCAGTGACAGTTTTGCACCCTTTTTTCTGAGAGTGTGGAGAGAATGCACTGGGACTGTTAATTTGCTCAATTATACATATTGGAAAAAATACAAAATGTATAGTTATGCAGTTCTGGCACATTTTATTTTTCATTTTTTCTACATTTTATATATATATAAAACCTGGAACTGAAATTTGATTCTTAAATTTTATTATTGATTATTAAATTTGTTCTCTGCAGAGAATGTGTTAACTTATTTTCACTTAGAAAATATCCAAAACCCAACATTCAACTGCAATGTATGTCATTTACTGGGTGCTTCGGATTGTTTTGGAAGAACCATCTAATCTATACAATTTAAATAAACAGTAAACTTTCTGGAAAAGCATCTGTTTTAATTTAAAGGAAGAAAACACAGCAAAACAGTCTAATCAAAACACGTTTGTATGTCAGGTTTGTAAGACATTCTTTTAGCATTGAGGATCATTATTCAGGAAAAATGCTCCTATTAACTAAATTAATGCAAACTTAAATATAATCTGATACCATGATGCTGAGGTATATTTGGAAATCTTGGTTTGTGAATATACTGTCCCAGATTACACGTTCTACATGTCGTACATCATGACACATCCATACTGTAGCTCATCAGTCTGAAGGCAGCTATGAAAGAGTATTACACTTGGGCTGGGGGGGTTGTATAGATAACCAGAATGAGAAGAACAAGAAGAAGTGGAAGAAGTGATGAAAAGCCCTCTGGTACATTTTACTCTGATGCCCCTCATTCCCCAAGGAGAAAAAGGACTGAAAGCCCTAAATATAAAGCTGAAAACAGGAAGATACAGTGTGTCAGAAACTCACTAGGAGATTTGTGTGTGTGTGTGAGTGCGTGAGTGTGAGAGAGAGAGAGAGAGAGAGAGAGAGAGAGAGACAGATAGACAGACTATAAGGGCAAGGCCAAGAAAGACAGATGCCAGAGGGCAGAATATGGCTTAGAGCTTTTTACAGAGTCGACAGATCTGGTGGAAAGAGGCAAGACCAAGAACAGAAGTCTTCACACCATGAGAGAGCTAAGTGGCTTCCAAACACAAATCAGGGCTGTCACTATACATAATCAGTAATTACTTTGATGACCTAACCATAACAAACCATAAATAGCCTTTGAAATAGTCAAAACTATATTGAAATGTACAGTATATATAAAAACATGACGCATATAAAGTCTGTGCTAATCAGGCTCTGTTTCTCACTACAAGACAACACTAGGAGAATTTTAAAATATGCATTATTATTATTATACAATTATATAAGCTGCCAACTAATCATTTCAGGTTCATCAAGATGGTCAATTGTAATCATAGATTTCTATTTTAAAGTGAGTTATTGAGTTTAATCAAGTAATTATAATAGCCCTGTTGTACTGTCCCTGCATCAACAAACAAGGCCCAAGGTTTGTCATCTGTAACTGGAGTTCTGGGGCTAAACAATCGCAAGAGCCTTTTTAAGGAATAAACCTATGCAGCCCTACATACAATAAAAAAATAATAATAATAAAAAAAGCTGTTTGGCACTACCAAACTTGTATTACATCCAGCACAGAACTATGGATAAAATCTATATAATAACAATATAGAAATGGTTTCATACCTGTTGTGGCAGATTAGTGCAAAAAAGGTACCAAACCGGTCCATCTCAGAACCTTTAGTCAGGGAACATAACTGTACCATAATCCACTGAAATGATATGTTCTAAGCTGTACTGACTCCACACACCCCGTCTCGTCTCCAGGCTTTTATTTTACTGTTCTGTTTTAAATCATTCGGTTATGAAAAGGTACAAATACGAACTTTTCACCTGGAAAAACTTATTTAAGGTTCACAATCAGACCTTAAAACCACTGTTGTACCTTTGAGGGAACATTTACATTGTTTGTACTTTGATGAACGAAAAATGTACCTGCACAGAACCTTTATTTCTAATGGTGTGGGCAGTAATTTCTGACTGGCTTTAAACAAATCTGGTCTGGTACATTGTTACATATTAGACTAGACGTCTCGTCTGCCTTGGACAGAAACATTCCATTCGAACAGAGAAGAGGAAACTAAGAAACTGCTTTTCTTCTGAGCATTCTGTGTATTTTGAGTGCATGTTTTGTGTGGCCCCTTCTCAGCTGGAATGGTTA